TGTGTTTGAGAGAGAATCCAGGCATTTGTAGGAAGCAACATCTCATTCTTGTAGAGGGTAAAGGTGAAGAATCTATTTCCTGGAGAAGTATATGCATCTGGTGTTTATCAGTTGTCTGGAGACTTGTGGAGATCTTCCTCTTAACACTGGTGTCAGTTTTCTAACCACTGTAGTCATGATAGTAGAGGATAGGCCATTTTAACCTTCCTCACATCCTTTATCATGTAATCTTTATGTTTGAATTATGCATGTAACATTTACTATTTGAAAATATGATACAAGTAACTAAATATAGTGAAATCCAAATAAGGTGCTTAGTTCAGTTAATAGTAGTTCATGGTATCAATTTGCTGGTTTTGTCATCATGCACAATATGTTATTATCATTAAGAAAGAGAAATAAGGATTAGAAAGAAACTCACTATATAATTTTGATAGGTAGGAACATACGGGCTAGAGGGGATTGTCTTCTACCAAATTCCTAAACCAAACAAATGTAAGCTGGCCATGCCACAACAAGGGGGTTAGAAAGATAGCAGTCATACATTACACACCTATGGGGATAATCCAATGTTGGGGAGGCTCACAGCAAGGTCACCTAGAAACAGGTGGAGGTCGACCTGACAACATATTAGGTACCATCAACATCATGTCAGAGGAGGAGCTGACCCTAGCCACAGAATATGACCAGTACCCTCAACCACACCCCCTCAAGTAGGGTAGGAGGGGATCAAAAGCAGGGACTAAGGGCAGTTGCTTTCTTGTTCTGCACTCTCATTCCAATCCTCTTTCCATGTGGGTTTTTGTGCTCCCCTGAAGTGACTGTCTTCAGTCTCGAACTCTCGTGCATTCCCGGCATGACCTTGGATGCTTTCTAGAGATAGCATGAAGTATCTGAGACTGCAATAATCAAATTTCCCTTGGCCTCATAAGAATTACTTGGATTTACAAAAGTGACTCTGCTGCATGAATTCTTTCAGCGCTGAGAAGCAAGAACTTCGGAAGCTTATCCAAGAAACCTCACAATTTCAGCATTGTCCTAAGAGTCTATATTCAATTCAGTATAAAATCCATAAGGTATGCAAGCTAGATAGAGAGCTACTTAGATTGGTCCACAGGTAACTCCTCTTGGGTCTTGTTTGACTCCTCGGAACCCTGCTCATAACAGGCAGACGGTCCTGGGTCCTGGACTGGCTTCATGATCGCTAGCACGTTTGAGCTTATGAGCAAAGCCCTTGCACGGAGGCTCTTTCTTACTCACACTGACCCCTATTTTATGAAAGGTGATATATGATG